GCAACTAATAACAACAGAAGATAAAGAAGGAGCTGAGAAAGGGAGATGGGAAGGGACTTAACCTCATTTTCTTTCAAATTTGGGAATTAAAACATAGGCTAGGATCATAGCTAAGCTACATAAAAATTTAAATTGGCTCCAAGACTAAGCCCCCAAACTTTTACTACCAATTGTATATGAGAATGTGTCTTGACGTCCAAAACATCCAACTAAAATTGAACTACAGGCACATGGGCCTTTGTAATGTTGGGGATCGCTTATATAGTCCTAACCATGACACTGGACAGAAGAAGGAATCCATGTATTACAAGGTAAAGGCTGCTAGTTACAACCAACGACAATAACAACAAAGGCAAAGTATTACATTCAAATGACTTTGGACTGTAAACACACACCCCCAATTCACCAACTAGGCCCCATTTTGGGATTTAGCTCTATATCCATTTGATTTTTCTATGATATAACAACAAGACTTAAGCTGGCTCTGAGGTTAGGTCTCAACATTTCATCAGATAACATCCAGAAACTACCTAAACTGCCTCAATTTTCAAAGCTATAGTTTATCCAAGCCTGCAAGAGTAGCAATGTTTTTCCTTTGTTTTCGTTTTTATCACATTTGCGGTCTCTCTAGAAAGGGTTTGATTTTGTTTGAAGAGTGTGTTCTAGCCAAATCATTCTAACATAATTTAGGCTGTTAGTCTGCACTTTAGTTAGCAGAGCAGCCTCTCGTTTTGGTCACCCAGCATTCACGCCTTCTCTTCCTTGTAATAGCCCTTTGACTGTGCTCTGAACTGGAAGAACTCTTGTCCCACTGAGTACAGGCTGATGGACTGCTTCCTAGCTCAGGGGTAGGCACACAACCAGAGTCAAGCCAATCAAATGCTTTCTCCATGGAATATGAGTCCTGAGAAGTATGAGGAAGGCATCAAAGAGTAGAGCTGCTTTATCTTAGCAGTGGCCTGAAAATGAAGCCTGCCAGCACCAGTGACAGACTCTTGGAGTCACCCTGGCTTTTGTCCTCTCTGGTTAAATTATTTTTCTTAAACCCTGGTTGTATCTTTATAATAAATTCCTTTTTCTATTCAAGCTGGCCAGCTAGTTAACTATTCCTGGTTACCAAAGGGCCCTAACTAATATTATTCCAAGTGGTATGCACTCTTTCAGCGTGCCTTCTAAATCTTTCACGCTGCTGCTAGATTGAGTCTCCTAAAACAAAGCTTGGATCATTCATCTACGTACACATTAAGCATTCCTATTACTCATTCATCTTATTTACTGAGCTCCTATTATGTGCCAAGCATGGGGGTATGTTATCTGAAATACAAGGGTACACAAAAAAGGTAAGATCTCCACTTTCTAGTGAGGAAGCCAGATGATAATCAAGGAAGCAAAGATAATTTCAGATTGTGCTAAGTGCTATGAGGGAAATAATTAGGATGCTATGGCTGGGTGGTGATACTGCCTCGAAACCCAAGGAGAGGTTGCCATGAGTCGGGTCCGACTTGACGGCACATAACAACAACATGGCTGGGTGGAGTAACTGCAGGTTTTGAGAGGATGAGAACTAAATTAAAAGAGCCAGACTTGATCCCTGTTTAAAAACAAACAAACAAAAAATAAAAATCAATGGCTACTAGGTGAAAACGCAGTATTTTAAAAACATGGACACCAGGGACTCTCTAAAATTTGGTTTCAAACTACAGTACTTAAAAATTTTTCCCCTTATTATTCCCTTGTGATAATTTTGTATGTCTCTGAGACACAACTTGCTTCTGTCCATTCTATTACCCACTCTGGAATGTGCTAGATCTCATATAACTCCCTTCCCAGATGCCACTCATCTGAACATTAATCATCTTTCCAAGTTCCTCCAGGAAGCCTTCCTTGCCTACTTCAGTTTATAATGAGCAAACCCTTCCTTTCAATTCCTGGATTACAAAAAGTCTGCATCATTTATGTAGTATTTACTTACTGCCTAATATTGTGTGCATCTATGTCTCTCCAATAAGACTATGAGCTCCTTAAGGTCGGAGAATCTATTTATTACCTCTTGGTACGCTCCACAATGCTTCAAGTGCTATCTTGTACAACAATATATGTTGATTTCATGTGCTGATATTCCAATTAGATGCAAAGGAGCAGAATTTGTACCTTTTGTTTTCCTAAAGCAAAGCTGGTCACATCACTGCTCAGCTTTAAAATACTGTATGGATTTTTCTATTATATTCTAGATGAAATCCAAACTGCACAGATGGGAATACACGACTCTCCACATTCTGGCTGGAATTCTTCTTTCTACCCTCATCGAATAGTCCTTACCACCTACCCCACAAAGTTCTAAATTGAGTTTCTACCACCTGAATTTTCTTACCTCTTTATTAGCCAACTGTTACCAAAAGATCCAGCTCAAATGTCACCTTCTCTACAAAACTTTCATAATTTACCCCACCAGCAGTTCATCCATTTAACTACCACAATACTTCATCTTTGTGCAACAAAAGCACAACTATTTTAACTGATCTGCTTTCACATCCATCTCTCATAATGTCCCTGGTAAGCAAAAACCCCTGTGTTCTCACCTATGTACCCTTAATGCTTAGCACAAGGCCTGGCACCTATCTACTGAACAAGGGGATAAAGAGCAAACTTGAGATTCAAGACCCTGACCTGCTCATCTTTAGTTCCCCAGGGTCTATCACAGAGCATACCACATGATAGCTTTGTTTACTTTTCTCATGAAATCATAAGGTCTAATCACTACTTGCAGGAGCTCTTGTGGCATAGTGTCTAAGGCATCTGAGTGCTAACCAGAAAGCTGGTAGTTCAAACCCACCAGCCACTCCTTGGATGGAAGACTGGGCAATCTCCTTCCATAGAGATACTGCCTTGGAAATCCAAGGAATGGTTGCTATGAGTCAGAACCGACTTGATGGCAGTGATTTTTTTTTAAATCACTATTTGATGATTACTCCCAAACCTGTATTTCTTAAGACTTTTCCTTGGGACTCCAGCCTCTCTTGTACCTACTGAAGAGTTCCATCACACTATATCCTAAGTAAGTAAAAATCTACACATCCAATGTGGTACTTGCAATCCACATCTTCACCCCCTACCCCCTTATCTGCTTGCCCCACACATTCTCTATTTAGTTTGGTGTGCTGCTAACCTGGTCTCCTAAACCTGAAACCTTTTCTTCTCCTTTATATCCAACCATTATTAAATTCAATCCTAGCTCTTTTGTAGCACTACACTCTGTTCTTCCCAGCACCATGCTCTTTGAGGCCAACAAAAATTGTCCTTTCAATTATCTCCTCTTCTAGAGACCTCTCTCAGTAACTTAAACCCTCTTTAGTTATTTTTTTTTTCTGGTCAGTTTCCATGGGTAATATTCTCTATTCAGATAATACTGTAAGTTCCTTTAAAGCAGGAGTTCGATATTTTATTTTATTTCCATAGAATGAAGCACACTGTATATTCAATGAGTAGTGTTACAAAGCATAAATTAAACAAAAAGTTACTTCTAAATAAACAAATGTCCCAAATCTCTCTTTCTAGTATTAACATTTAAGGTTACTTAAATGTAAACTTAATGGTTATTAGTCATTAGAGATGGATGAAGGATCTACTTCAAGCACTAGAGGGAAAATTTTTCTAAAAATATTTTTCAATGAGAAATCTTTCTCAAATGGGTTAACCCATTTTCTTGGCTTCTTAAACAAGGTGTGCAGAGCATGATGCAAGCTCCTAATAGATGACTCAGAGTCATGATTATTAACAATCACTGGACTATGCTGTAATACAGTGATGCCTCCAGATGCTAGGAGTCAACAAAGCTGTTGGCTCTTACACTTAAAAACCTCAGGTTGCTATACTGTGCCTTGTCTGATAAAATTTCTCTCACAACTGTTTTCACTGTTAGTCAAATCCCTTTGCTTTAACTGCCTTCCAAACTACCCCCAGCTCCCAGTGTGCTGCATATGTGGTTATTCTCCAGAGCCACGCAGCTCTTGAAATTTAAACATATCATCCTCTGTAGATGGGCTACTGAACTTATTCCAGAAAATGATGTCTAAGTGATAAGAAAACCCACTAGAAGATCATGAAGGACTCCAGCACAAGTCTTTCGACCCACTAGAAGATCATGAGGGACTCCAGCCAAGTCTTTCGGTGAGAGTCTGTGTAACAGGTGCGACGGGCCATGTCTTGATCCCTTCCTTTCCCCAGTGCCTCCAGTCAGATTCCCGATGGGCGCTTTCTCAGAAAGCATTCACAGCTGAGCAGGAAGCTTTTGGCCCGCGGAGGGTGCTGTGCTCTACAGTAAGCGGTGAAAATCAAAGAAACAAGTTCTTAAGGGGTTCTAGGCAGAAATAAATGTACTTCGATGTCCAGAAGCCCTGCTGAAGGGCATGGGGCAGGAAAAAAAAAGTCAACTTGGGCACTGGCCTGTCATGCCGGTACCGGCCTCCCGCCGCCAGATCTAGGAGACCTCTAAGAGAACAAGGTGGGCCGAAAAGGAGCACCCAGCCGGCCAAGGGGGTGGGGACAGCACCACAGGCCACTGCAACTGGCTTCCGTGCCCTCACTCGCGCGTACTTTGCGTCCGGGGCTGGTATTGGAGGACCTCCCTACCAGCCCCAAAGGAGAGCACGCGCCCTTCATGGGACCGCCGTTTCAACCACAACCTGCTCGCGAAGAGTATTGGAGGCCAGTGAGGGAATAGAGCGTGCGCAGTAGCGTGGGCGAGGCCAAGTATGGGTATGGAGCATGCGTAGTGTGAAAGCACAATCGGCTACGTGGGAGCTCAGGGCATGCTCGGTTAGTGCCAAGCACTGGCGCACGCGCAGAAGTGCCCAGACACCGCAGCCCGCTAGTGGAGAGAAAAAAAGAGGAGAGAAATCACCTCAGAGTTACGTCAGGAAAGGCCTCGTTTTGCGGGGAGGCTGTAGCCTACTACGGGGCCCCGCAGTTCAAACAGAGCGAGGGGCATGGCAGTTACTCACCGATCCCAGCCCCGAGGCAGACGCAGGGTCCCCTTCCGCTCACACTCGGCTCGCGCGCGCCGCAGCCGCCGCTGCCGCTGTGATTCCATCCATCTTGAATTTGACGTCATCCCACACCAGGGATGAGGTCATCGCAGGCAGCGCTCGTCACGTGCGCAGCTCTATGATTGGCCGCCCGGCGCCGCGGGGCGGGGGCGCGTTCCGCAAAGGGAGGCGGGAGATGCTGGGGGTCGGGATGAAGGCGGGCCTGATGGGAACCGTGCACCTAACAGTGCACCCGGGCGGTCGTCACCGCCGCCGCTGTGTCATCCTGCTGCCCGTGTACGGAGGCAGGCGTCCTCGGACCCCTTCCCCTTGCTGTGTCCAAGCGGGCCTAACGGTTAGTGGGCGGCGGGGAGGGGTCGCCGCCCTTTTTGGCCGAAGCCCATTTCGTTGAGGAGAGACCCCGCCGCCGTGTGGAGGCAGACGCTCTTGTCCGCAAGTCGGATGTGCCGTTTGGTGGAGACCGGAGTGGCTTTCTATAGTGATTGCCGTTGTCATTTTACTAATGTTATGTCTTCCTTCGATGCGGTGGCGGCAGCACCGCCAGTTCTGAGTTTACAGAGTCTGCGGTTGCGTGCACCAGGGCGAGCAGGCGTCGTAGGACCCCTGGAAGGATGACTCATTCCCTTGGAAAACACGACGGAATGCCCTGAGCTGCAGAACCTGGAAGTCCGGGAGCACCTTGCGTTTCATAACTGTGGTCGCGAGTCAACCGGCAGAGCCCAGGTGGCCTGCAGTCCATGGTTCTCCGACGACTTTTCTTCAAGTGTCTCCTCCAGTGTGGGGACTTCGTGGAAAGTCTTGTGGGGGAAGGACGCAGGGTCTGAAGTTTGCCGACAGTCGTCTCGAGACTTTTCATTGCCTTCCTCCTAAAATGAACTGATTACTAAGGACTTCTAGATAGTGCGTTAGAGCAAACTATGCAAGGTTCATTCTGCTTGAGCAGAGTTGAATGTTGCTGCTGTGATTATCAACTCCATGTGACATCTACTTATAAACTACATTTTCACAGACAAACGCCTTTTAAAAATAGGGGTTGAGTTAAATAATCGGTGTACAGTTATTTCCCATAATACAAATTCTCATTTGATGTCTTTCAACGTTTTTGTATAGTTTGGTTGTATAAGTGTTACAACTCTTACGTTGGTTAGACACTTCACTTTTGTCTAGAACAGAAAGGTAACCAAAAAAAAATGCCAAACTGCTAAACGCCAAAAGTAAAAAAGGATTCTCTGTCTTATACATGCCAAATACGCCATTGTCTTCCTGTCCATTCCAAATCGTGGCGAGCCCATGTCTTACAGAGTAGAACTGCTTCATAAGGTTTTCTTGGTTCGGTTAAGATTACAACCAACAAAACCCTATGGAGCAGTTCTGCACTGTAACACATGATGTTGCCATGAGTTGGAATAGCGACTAACACAACGACAAACATAATGAAAGCAGATCACCAGAACTTTCTGGATACACCTGGGAATTCCAACCTTTAGATAGTAGTCTACTGAAAACCGTTTGTGCCACCTAGAGACCTGATGATTCTAGAACAAGCTTGTTGTTGTTGTTGTTAAGTGCCGTCGAGTCGTTTCCGACTTAGGGATTGTAAATTGACATTATTTAATATTTTTCAAATGTTTGTTAATTTTCAATTGAAGTTTAAATTCTGAAAGTTGAATTTATACACCTGACCCTAGGTAAAATATATGTTTGAGGAGTATGTGGAAGAAATAATGTAGTATAGCTTGGTAGAAAGGAAAACTTTTATTCCAAAACTTACAGCTTTATTATCAATTGTTTTAGTGTTACTAATTTTAAGGAGATTGTTAATGTTAAATGAAGAAATCTCACCCTAAATTTTCCTCCTAATCTATTGAAAAACTTATAAGAGTGTTTGTTTTGATCTGAATGGTGGTAAAGCAAAAAGTGGCTTTATGCTTAGAAGGAAACAGTGACTGAAAGTCTTTCAAAGGTTGTAGAGTATTAGGATCCCTTGTGATCAGGCTGCAGTCCTCGGGTGAAGCAAATGGTTAATGTTCTTGTCTGCAAACAGAAAGGTTGGAGGTCTGCATCCATCCAGATGTGTCTCGGAAGAGAGGCCTGGTGATCTAGTGCTGACAAATCAGCCACTATGGAGTACAGTTCTACTCTGGCACCCCGGGGGGTTGCCATGAGTCAGGGTCAAGCTGAGTGAGCATATGTCGTTATCCCCATTTTACAGTGAAAAATAGTGAGAAAACCACTTTTATGCTGAGTTGCAAGTGCCAGAGCTAGGAACTAGGTTTTCTCATTCTGTTTACTATTACCAGTACCAGTTATTGTCATTTCTGACTTATGGTGACCCCTGGTGTGTCAGAATAGAACTGTGCTGCATAAGGCTTTCAAGACTGTGACCTTATGAAAGTAGATCACCTGGCCTTTCCTTTGAGGTGCCTCTGGGTAGACTTGAATCTCCAACCTATCAGTTAGTCAGCCGAGCCTGTTAACCATTTGCATTACCCAGGGACTCCCTGTTTACTGTACCGTATGCCCTAAGCAATCTTCAACTGTATACCTTTCTAGCTACCTAGCTTATATATATATTTTTTTAAGCTTCCTTAAGAAGATACACATTGGATGTATGTACTTTAAGGTCAGTGATCAGGTTTTTTGCCCCTACCAGTTAACTGAAATTAACTAACCTACCTGCCAAGTCCAGCAGAAACCTTTCCATCATTATTTCATCTCTGTTTTTAACACTTTATCAATGCCTTTTTGAAACTTAGTTGCTTCAGTGACCCTGGATTCTCTTGCCTCATCTCCGACTGCTTACTCTCAGCCTCCTGTCTTGACTCTACTGCCCTTGCCCATCCTTTCACTGTGGGATTTCCCCAGGCTTCTGACCTTGATTTTTGTTTTTCTTGTTACTCTCTCCCTATGGAATCTCATCATCTCTGGGACATAAGCTCAGTTGCCTGAGCTGGGAACCTGGGCACTACCCCCAGCTTCTCCTTCTGTTGTCAGTAATCACCAAATTCCTGTGCATGCTACCTCCTACATGTTTATCTGTTAATGTAACCTCTTTTCACATAAACAGCTTCCTAACTGCTCTCTGGCATCCTGGTTTTTCCTTTTAATTTACACTCCCATTGCAGCCATAGTGATCTTTTAAAAAAGTGAACTGTATCATGTGACTCTCTTGCTTAACTTTCCAGTGGTCACCATTGCTAGTATGATGAAGTGCAAACTGCTTAATGTACTCTTACAAGAACCTTATAACCTGGCTTGCTTCTAACTCCTTATCTCCCCCTCCCCCCACACAGACACACATGCTCTCTCTATATAAGTCATACTCTTTGGCTTGCTTGTGGGCCTTCACATGTGTTGTCTCTTCTGCCTGAGCTATGACTCCTCTGTACCATGACATGCCCTGTTTTCCCTTGATAATTTCATTTTTCTGGTTTTTCCTCCAGAATCCCCTTTCCTACACTCTCCCTCCCTGCTCCCCTAACTGTCACCTCCCACCCTTATTCTGGGTTTGCTGCCCCACTTCTATGCTCCTATAGCACCCTGTGTTGCATTTGTTAATACCACTTGTGTATACCATTGGCCTGTCGGTACTCTCACATCTCCCACAACAGGCTTATTCACCTCTGCCTGCCCAGTGCCTGACACAATGCCTGGCCTATAGCAGGAGCTCAACATATTTTTGTTGCTATCCATACATGCATCCCCAACAGGATCTGTAGCTCCATCTACTCACATATTTATTTATGCAAAATTCATATTAGTTATATTGCCAACTTCCTACATAGACATCATCTGGATATCCCACAATTATGTACTCAACAAGCTCATAGCTTAGCTTCCTATCTGCTTTCTATCTTACCTTAAACCTGTTCTTCCTTTGCTACTTAATTAATGGTTCTGACTTCTGTCCTGGTACCCACACCAGAAACCTGATTATTATTTTAGATTCTCTCTTAGTTTCTGCATTCAGCTGGTCACTAAGTCCTATCAGTTGGCCTCTTAGATGTCACTGAAATCTGTCCTTAATACCTCTGCTTCGCTGCTTCTGGCTTCCAGCATCTCTGGCTAATTGGTGTAGCCATCCAATCAAGTTCCTGCCTCAATTTTGCTTTCTTCCCGTCCCCACCCAATCCAATTAATTTTTGCATCAATTTATCTTTCTAAAAAGCAATCTGGTTAAATTGCTCTGCTGCTGAAAACCCTTCAATGACTTTCAGTCACTTATGTCTCAGTGCTGAGCCAGCCTACAAAGTGGGCTCAGAGTGGCCTCATCTCTGCCTTCCTCATGGCCTCTGCTCTCCTACCTTTACCATCTCTGGGCATGCACAGTTCGAACAGGCTCTTCCCTGCATGCGCTTTTTCTGTTCTGATTTCTCTTTCAAGAATCAGACCAAGGCCTCTTCCCTCTGTGCTTCAGTAGTTCCACTGTAATATCTATTACTACCTGCTTGCCAGCCAGTTTTTCTGCTAGTTTATGCCCTCTTTTGATGCAGAGACCATGCATTTTAACCTATCTATTCCCAGAACTTTGAGCTTGTTGCTAGGACTATGCCCAGGGCCATCTGCTGTTCTAGGATTATAGGGCACAGCTAAGGGGAGGAAGTTGTGCTCTTCCAGAGACCCTCCCATGGGAGGGCCTGAAGCTGGAATGGTCATGCCTGGGCTTTGTTCTCTTGGTGCTTAGAGCTCCCTGGGCCAGGAATGAAGAAGCTGAGTTCCAGAAGCAATCAGTAACTGTTGCCCACAGTGGCCACAAATCAAGGCTGTGCAGCTTGGCCCTCATATAGGGTGTCAGGCTGATGACTCCTGGACAGGCGTGAGGGAGCTGACGATAGCTGTTCTGGATTTAAAGACAGAGACGTCAGACTTCAGGACAAGTGATGAGCTCACCAAAGGGCATTAATCTACGAGGCCTTTTTCAATCATCAGCTTGTACTGTGTCTATAAAGGAGAAATGGTATTGTTTCTTTACCTCAACATTTCAAAATAGCTGGGAATATTTGTTCAATTTGGACATCGTGTTGACTAAATTTAGCTGATCCTAAACTTATTTTAAAAAG